CGGGACAGTCTCCGACGCGGGGTCTGCCACCAGCTCCCTGGAAATCTGAAGGGAGACCCAGAGTCGCATCCTCCCGATTCCACCAGAGCCCCTTCAGAAACAGCCTTTTCAGCGGCTGAGTGTGACGGCTGGCGGCAGGCAGAGCGAGTGGAGGGGAGACAGGTGCCCTGGGCTGATTGCTGACCCACCTCTGGGCCCCCTGCTGCTGACAAGTTGATCCTGAGCACAGCTTGGCCCCTCCTGGGCACAGCCACGCCCGGTGGAGGCAGCCACAGACTGGGTTGCTTGGAGTTTCGAACAGGTTGCCAAGAGCCCAATGTGGACGGTGTCTGACGGTCACTAGCACCAAAGTACCCCAGGGAGGCCCAGAAACGACCTCGAACACAGTCCTCCTCCGTCAGCGTCGGAGCACGGCCCAGGGCGCTCCCAGGAGGCACTGAACTCTGCCAAGACAAACGCCGCGTGGCTGGTTTGCGTTCTATTTCTTTATTCTCCCTTTTCTATTGCACTATTATTTTGTCTCTCTTTTTTTCTTTCATATTTCTTACTTTTCTTTCCTTTTCTTACTGTATTTTTTCTGTCTCCTTTCTTTTTTCCTTTTCTTAATTTTTTTCTGTCTTCTTTTTCTTCTTTTCCCCTTTTCAGAATTGTTTTCCTTTCTCCTTTCTTTCATACCAGTTCCTTTTCCTATTCTTTATTCTTAATTTTTCTCTCCCATCTTCCCTCTCAGGTTCTCTTTTCCTCCCCCCTTTTTCTTCTTGTATTCTTTTCTTTTCTTTTCTTTTCTTTACTTTTATTATTCTTGCTTTCTTTTCCCTTTCCTAATTCTCTTCTGTTTTGTAGTTGTTTGTGTGGTTGTTGTAGGGATCATTGTATGCTTTTGTTTTGTTTCTTGTTTAGTTGTATTGCTCTGTCAGCACCTGCACAACAGCTCACACACTGTGGTGGGGGTGGAGCCGCACAGCCAGCCACCTGCGGAGAGATACACACCATGAGTGGGACAGCGACAGTCAAGACCCAGTTACAACAGGAGCGCCACATACCCCTCGAGGTGCACCTCTAGGTCATCCAGATCAGATCATAGAGACTGCACCTCTGGGTCCCACAGGACACTTACTCCATAAGGCACCCCCCGAAGACTGGGAGGCATAGCAGTTCTATCTGATACATAGAGACAAATACAAAGGGACAGCTAAAACGGGGAGACAAAGAACAACCCCCAAATGAAAGAAAAGGAAGAATCTCCAGGGAAAAAAATGAAACAGAGGCAAACAATTTATTAGGTATAGAGTTCAAAGTAATGGTTATAAGGATGCTCAAGGAAGTTAGTGAGGATTACAAGGAACTAAGTGGGAACTACAACAGCATAAAAAAGGAAATAGAAAAAAAAAGGAAATTGAAATTATGAACAAGAACCAGAAGAAAATGAATACCATATCCGACATCAAGAATACAGTAGAAGGGCTAGGCTGGTGTAGCTCAGTGGTTAAGCATCAACCTATGAACCAGGAGTCACGGTTCAATTCCCAGTCAGAGCATATGCCTGGGTTGCAGGCTCAATCCCCAGTGTGGGGCATGCAGGAGGCAGCTGATCAATGATTCTCTCTTATCATTGATGTTTCTATCTCTCTCTCCCTTCCTATATGGAATCAATAAAAATATTTTTCATGTGAAATATGGGTATTGTTTGCATACATAAAGTTTTCAGACATCACAGTGAGAGAAATCAGACATCCCAATATTTCACAAAGCAAGGTTCCAATTAGTGATACAGTGAATATGCCACAACCTCTCTTCCAGCCAGAGTTCGCATGCTGAATAGAAGAATAATGCTTCAACTATTAACTTCAATCTTCATTATTTTAATCTGAAGGACAACCATAAAATATCTCAAAATTTACTACTTTGAGAGTTTGGTTAGGTTAGATCCACTTATTAATGGTAAGAGCAACCATAACTCATTCTCAGTGAGAGAATCCCTATATACTAGTACAAACCTGGCAAATTTTTTTAAAAAGTACTTAAACAAAGCTTTTGAAAAGAATGAAAGCTAGCTCAATTCATATAATGTCAAATAACTTTCAATTAATAATAGAATCATTTACATTTTTGCAGTATCTTATAGCATATTTTGTTCCTAATGAGAAAATATACTAAAATGCTAGTGCTAACCCTGAAATCTTAATCCAAACCTTACTCATAAGACTAACATGTTGGTCAAGAGGGAACGAATGAAATCATGCACTGTCTACAGGGCAAATGAAAACCAACGGCAAGACGCCCGGAAAGCTGAACCCCTGGTACAAACACACACGCACACGCACAAAGTAATTACAAGCAAACACCACGAATCTATATTCTCTACCTGCTGGCGAACCTGTTATTAAAATTTCAAAGAAAAAAACAACTTAGGCTTTTTCTATTTAATCCATAAGAAATATTCAGGAACAGATAAATAGAATATTTGTTGCATATTAACGAACATGTGGCTTCATGTGCTTTCCATCTGAATTAGGGGTTAAAATCCAAGATACTTTGTTTTCAATGTGATATAAGTATAAAGTAATATTAAACATCTATAGGAAAGCATCTTTTCTTCAGCCCAATTTTACATGAAAGTACTAACAGTGAAAATTCATGATGTTGTGTGAAAATGGTGACGGCGGCCAGCATCTCGCGCAGGTCCACGGTGCCGCTGTTGGCCAAAGAGGCTGACCGGCAGGCCAGGAAGCCTGAGTAGAGGTGGTAGAGCACGCCGAGCCCCCGCAAGCAGAGCACGGCCCCAACTCACCAGGACAGCGCAGCTCCGGCTCCACTGCCCACCAGCAGGTCTCACATCCACGTTAGCCAACTCAATAAAAATAGATTTTTAAAAAAGAATACACTGGAAAGAATTAAAAGTAGATTGAATGAAGCAGAGGATCAAATCAGTGACTTGGAAGACAAGGTAGAAAAAGCACCCAATTAGATCAGCAAAAAGATAAAAGAATTCAAAAGCAGGAGGATAGTTTAAGGGAACTTTGAGACAACATGAAACACAACAACATCCACATTGTGGGGGTCCCAGAAAGAGAGAAAGTGAGCAAGGGCTAGAGAACCTGTTTGAAGAAATAATGACAGAAAACTTCCCCAACCTGGTGAAAGAAAAAGACACAAAAGTTCAGGAAGCAAGGAGAGTCCCAATCAAGATGAACACAAAGAAGCCCACACCAAGACACATCATAATTAAAATGACAAATGTTGAAGACAAAAAAGAATCTTAAAGGCAGCAAGAGAGAGGCAGAAAGTTACCTACATGGGAGTTCCCATTAGATTGTCAGCTGATTTCTCAACAGAAACATTTCAGGCTAGAAGCGATTGGCATGAAGTATTCAAAGTAATGAAAAGCAAGGACCTGAACCCAAAACTACTCTATCCAGCAAGGCTAGATTTTAAATAATTTTAAAATTGAAGGCGAAATAAAGAGCATCCAGTTTAAAAAAAAAAAAAGCCTAAAGGAAAACATTACCACCAAACCAGCATTGCAATAAATGTTAAAGGGACTGCTATAAGAAGGAGAGAGGAGAGAGAGAGAGAGAGAGAGAGAGAGAGAGAGAGAGAGAGAGAGAGAAGCTTAGGTATAAAGAAAAAAGTGGCAATAAATAAGTACCTATCAATAATAACCTTCAAAGTAAATGGATTAAATGCTCCAATCAAAAGACATAGGGTAGCTGAATGGATAGGAAAATATGACTCATATTAAAAGAGACCCACTCAGAACAAAATATTCACACAGGCCGAAAGTGAAGATATGGAAAAAATAATCCATGCAATGGAAAATGAAAAAAAGCTGAGGTAGCAATTCTCATATCTGACAAAATAGACTTCAAAATGAAGACCATAAAAGAGACTAAGAAGGTCACTACATAATATTAAAGGAATCAATTCAACAAAAAAAATATAACCCTTGTCAGCATATATGTACCCAATATAGTGGCACCTAAATATATATTTTTAAAAACTCTTGTTGCATTTTAAAGGAGAAAGTGACTGCAATACAGTCTCAATAGGGGACTTTAACACCCCACTAACATCACTGGATAGATCTTCCAGACAAAAAAATCAGCAAAGTGCCAAACCAGTTTGGCTCAGTGGATAGAGCGTCGGCCTGCGGACTGAAAGGTCCCAGGTTCGATTCTGGTCAAGGGCATGTACCTTGGTTGCGGGCACATCCCCAGTAGGAGGTGTGCAGGAGGCAGCTGGTCGATGTTTCTCTCTCATCGATGTTTCTAACTCTCTATTACTCTCCCTTCCTCTCTGTAAAAAAAAAACCAATAAAAATATATTTTTAAAAAAAAAATCAGCAAAGAAACAGCAATCCTAAACGACTCACTAGATCAGATGGACTTAATTGACATCTTCAGAATATTTCACCCCAAAGCTACAGAATATACATTCTTCTCAAGTGCACATGGGACATTTTCAAAAATAGACCACATATTGGGATATAGGCAAAATCTCTCCAAATTCAAGAAGATTAAAATCATATCAAGCATCTTCTCAAGATCACAATGGCATAAAATTAGGAATAAACTACAATAAAAACAATCACAAAAATTCAAACACTTGGAGGCTAAATAGCATGCTATTAAACAACGATTGTGTTACCAAAGAGATCAAAGAAGAAATTTTTAAAAATCCTGGAAACAAATGACAATGAAAACACAACTATCCAAAATCTATGGGACACGGTGAAAACAGTCCTGAGAGGAAAGTTCATAGCTCTACAATCTTACCTCAAAAAACAAGAAAAACTGGTAATAAACCATCTAACTCTGCAACTTGAAGAATTAGAAAGAGAGCAACAAAAAAGCCCAGAGTGTGCAGAAGGAAGGAAATAATAAAGATCAGGGCAGAAATAAATGACATAGAGATTTTTTTTTAAAATCAACAAAACCAAGAGCTGGTTCTTTGAAAGGATAAACAAGATTGATAAACCTCTAGCCAGGCTCACCAAGAAGCAAAGAGAGAGGACCCAAATAAACAAAATCAGAAATGAAAGAGGCAAAATAACAACAGACCCCACAGAAATACAAAGAATCATAAAAAAAAAAAACTATGAGCAACTCTATTCCAAAAAATTGGTCAACCTGGAAGAAATAGACATATTCCTAGAAAAATATGATTTTCCAAAACTCAATCAGGAAGGATCAAAAAATCTGAATAGGCCAATAACTATGGAGGAAATTGAAGCAATAATCAAAAAACTTCCAACAAACAAAAGCCCTGGACCAGACGGCTTCACAGGGGAGTCTTATCAAACATTCAAAGAAAAACTAAAACTTATCCTCAGATTATTCCGAAAAATTCAAGAGGAATGAAGCCAGCATTACCCTAATCCCAAAACCAGATAAAGACAATACAAAGAAAGAGAATTACAGGTCAATATCCCTCATGAACATAAATGCCAAAATTCGCAACAAAATTCTAGCAAATCAGATCCAGCATTACATTAGAAAGATCATACACCATGACCAAGTAGGATTTATTCCAGAGATGCAAGGATGGTACAATATCCACAAATCAATAAATGTGATACATCACATAAACAAATTGAGAGATAAAAACCATATAATTATATCAATTGATGCAGAAAAAAAAACATTTAGCAAAATCCAACACCTTTTCTTGATAAAAACTCTCAGCAAGGTGGGAATAGAAGGATCATACCTCAACATAATAAAAGCCATATATGACAAACCTATAACCAACATCATACTCAATGGGCAAAAACTAAAACCATTTCCCCTAAGAACAGGAACAAGTCAGGGATGCCCACTCTCACCACTCCTGTTCGACATAGTACTGGAAGTACTAGCCACAGTGATCAGACAAGAAGAAGAAATAAAAGGCATCCAAATTGGAAAAGAAGTAAAATTGTCATTATTCGCAGATGACATGATATTGTACATAGAAAACCCTAAAAACTCCATCAAAAAAACTATTAGAATTAATCAATGAATTTGACAATGTAGCAGGATACAAAATTAACACCCAGAAATCCATGGTTGCCAGAACCGGTTTGGCTCAGTGGATAGAGCGTTGGCCTGCGGACTGAAAGGTCCCGGGTTCGATTCCGGTCAAGGGCATGTACCTGGGTTGCGGGCACATCCCCAGTGGGAGATGTGCAGGAGGCAGCTGATCGATGTTTCTCTCTCATCGATGTTTCTAACTCTCTATCTCTGTCCCTTCCTCTCTGTAAAAAAAAAAAAATCAATAAAAATATATTAAAAAAAAATCCATGGCTTTTTTATACACCAATAATGAACTCACAGAAAGAGAAACTTAAAAAAAATCCTAGTTACCACTGCAACAAAAAAATTAAGATACCTAGGAATAAATTTCACCAAGGAGGTATAGGACCTGTACTCAGAAAATTATAGGACACTGAAAAAAGAGATAGAGGAAGACGAACAAATGGAAAAATATACATGTTCATGGATTGGTAGAATCAACATCATTAAAATGTCCATACTACCTAAAGCAATCTATAAATTCAATGCAATCCCCATTAAAATACCAACATCATACTTCAAAGACCTAGAACAAACTCTCCAAAAATTCATCTGGAATAAAAAAAAGATCCCGAATAGCTGCAGCAATCCTGAGAAAGAAGAACAAAGTTGGAGGGATCATAATACCAGGTATCAAGCTATACTACAAAGCCACTGTTTTCAAAACTGCCTGGTACTGGCACAAGAACATACATAGAGACCAGTGGAACAGAACAGAGAACCCAGAAATCAACCTAAGCCATTATGCTCAATTAATATTTGACAAAGGAGGCAAGAACATACAATGGAGTCAAGACAGTCTCTTCAATAAATGGTGTTGGAAAAATTGGAAGGATACATGCAAAAAAATGAAACTAGACCACCAACTTACACCATACGCAAAAATAAACTCAAAGTGGATAAAGGACTTAAACGTAAGACAGGAAACCATAAAAAATCTTAGAAGAAGCCATAGGCAACAAAATAGCAGACATTTGTCATAGCAATATCTTTGCCGACACAGCTCCTAGGGCAGTGGTTCTCAACCTTCTGGCCCTTTAAATACAGTTCCTCATGTTGTGACCCAACCATAAAATTATTTTCGTTGCTACTTCATAACTGTAATGTTGCTACTGTTATGAATCATAATGTAAATATCTGATATGCAGGCTGGTCTTAGGCGACTCCTGTGAAAGGGTCATTTGACCGCCAAAGGGGTCGCGACCCACAGGTTGAGAACCGCTGTCCTAGGGCAATGGAAACTAAGGAGAAAATAAACAAATGGGACTACATCAAAATAAAAAGCTTCTACAGCCAAAGAAACCGTCAACAAAACAACAAGAAAGCCCACTGCATGGGAGAACATATTTGCCAATGTTATCACCGATAAGGGTTTAATCTCCAACATTTACAAGGAATTCATACAACTTAACAAAAGGAAGATAAACAACCCAATCAAAAAATGGACAAAGGACCTAAATAGGCACTTTTCGAAAGAGGACACTCAGAAAGCCAAGAGACACATGAAAACATGCTCAAAGTCAGTAATCATCTGAGAGATGCAAATCAAAATGATGATGAGGTACCACCTCACACTTGTCAGAATGGCTATCATCAACAAATCAACAAACGACAAGTGCTGGTGAGGATGTGGAGAAAAAGGAACCCTCGTGCACTGCTGGTGGGAATGCAGACTGGTGCAGCCACTGTGGGAAATATAGAGTTTCCTCAAAAAATTAAAAAATGGGCCCTAGCTGATTTAGCTCAGTGGTTAGAGTGTTGGCCCATGGACTGAAAGGGTTTGGGGTTTGATTCCTGTCTGAGCCCGTGACTCAGTTGCAGGCTCAATCCTCAGCCCCAATTGAGGAGCATGAGGGAGACAACCAATTGATGTGTCTCTTTCACATCGATGTTTCTCTCTCTCTGTCTCTCCACTCCCTTCCACTCTCTCTAAAAAAGCAATGGAAAAATTATGCTCTGTGAGGATTAACAAATATTTTTTAAAATGGAACTGCCATTTGACCTATTGATCCCACTTCTTGGAATCCAGTCTCCAAAACACCAATCAGAATATTGAACCATTTAGCAGCTTTATTTACAACTAGAAAACCGGTGCATGATCATGCACAGGTGGGGTCCCTCAGCCTGGCCGGCGATTGGGGCCGATGAGGGCCGGCCGGCAGGGGAGGGACTGTGGGAGGGCTCCAGGGTGTGTCCCGCCTTCTCACCCCGTCCGGATCAGCCGGACCCCAGCAGCAAGCTAACCTACTGGTCTGAGTGTCTGCCCCCTGGTGGTCAGTGTGCATCATAGTGACTGGTCGAGCGGTCAATGGAACAGTTGACCAATAGGTCGGACACTTAGCATATTACACTTTTATTATATAGGATAGGAAAGATTTGGAAACAGCTCAAGTGCCCATCAGTAGATGAGCGGGTAAAAAAGCTGTGGTACATCTACACCATGGAATACGATGTGGCTGTAAAAAAGAAGGGGCACCTCCTTTGCCACAGCATGGAGGGACCTGGTGAGTATCATGCTAAGCGAAATAAGCCAGTCGGGGAAAGACAGGTATCACATGATCTCACTTATATGTGGAATGTAATGAACAAAAGTATATAACGAACAAAAAGGATGCATGGAACAGACTGACAGGCCTCAGAGGGGAAGCGGGAGAGAGGAGGGAAGAGATTAACCAAAGAGCTTATATGCACAGTCCACGGACACAGACAGTAGTGTGGTGAAGGCCTGGGGTGGGGGCAGAGGTGGGGTGCAAGGGGGGTAGGAGGGGAAAATGAGGGATGTCAGTTCCCATTCTCACAATGCAATACTGTCAACATTAAATGTTTTTAAAAGGAGTGAAGCTCTGGCACACGCTACAACATGGGTATGTCCTGTAAACATCACGCAGAGTGAGAAAATCCAGTCACACAGGACTTCACACTGTGGATTCCATTCACATGAAACACTAGGAGAGTCAGGACGCTGAGGAAGGGCCTGGGGGTGGGGGGGGGGGAGTGACTGCTAATGGGTAGGAGGCTTCTCTCAGGGAGGCCCAACATGTTCATGGTCGCACACAAAACTAAAAAGCTTTAAGCTCTACACTTAAATGGGTGAATAATATGGTGTTGAATTAAATAGCAATAAAGCTGTTAAATACAGGGTGTCCCAGAAATATGCACACTCCAACAGCTGACAGCTCAATTGGTGTTTCTTTCTTTTCAGATGTAACCCACTGGAACAAGGAATGAATTGAAAGGGTGCTTACGTTTTGGGGGACACCCTGCACTTATATTATATTCCGTATCTTCACTCTAAGAAAATAGAAACATGAATTGAAAAGCCTTTTGGAATCTATCTTACAGAGGGATTCAAACTAACTTGTGTGGATAATGCTCCCTGAGGAAGGCGGAGCATGACCTCACCTTCTGTGCGGGGTGAGCGTGTGGCCCTGCCCAAGGGCCAGGGGACAGGCTGGGCGTCAGCACAGCGGAAAGCGCTGAGGAACACAAGCTCACCAGGAGGTCAAGGTCTACACCCTCAGGGACAAGTCATGGCAACAGCATGCTCCCTGGATATGACATGACGAAACGGAACTTCACCTCTGTGGTCTCACTCCTCCAAACCCATAACCCAATCGAATCGCGAGAAAAACATCAGAGAAACCCAAATTAAGGGATATTCTCCAAAACACCTGACTAGTTCTCCTCCAAACTACCAAGGTCACCAGAAAGGAAAGCCGGCCCGGGGAGCCCACGGAGACATGGCGGATGTGAGGCGTCTGCGGAGCGGGTCCTGGACAGAGGAGGGACCCTGGGTGAACCATGAGGAAATGCAAACGAAGCGTGTGCCTTAGGTACTAAGAACGCACCAACATCGGTTAGTTGGTTGTGCATTAATGTGATTCATTCGGCCAACTATCTTTGCAACCTTTCTGCAAATCTCAAACAATTCTAAAGTTAACGGTTTATTTTAAAAACTCACTTGGAGGCGGCATGTAGGGTGAGATGAGTTACAGCTCTTCAGCGTGTGACCTGGGAGGACACCCTCTGGTCTGATTCCCCATCAGTAAGGTAGTTGCACCCCAGTCTCAGCGACCGTTGTAGGATCTGAATGAGGCAACATGTGTTAAGAGAACTTTGGAAAGTGAAGTTCCTCCCAAATATCCCGGAAAGAGCTAATCAGGTGGCTGAAATGTCCCCGCGTGGGTCTCCTCCAAACATGCTTGTCTTCCTCGTTTAATGTGTGTGCGTAGGTCTCTGTCTCTGCCACCATGGGCGGCATCTCTCCTTCCTCACCCCCACACAGTGCCTGCAATGGCTCCTCCCTGGCCTTCCCTGGCCTTCCCTGGCCTGGTGAGCCCCCCTCCCCCTGGCCTGGTGAGACCCCCTCCTTGCACCCACAAGTCACCTCCCACTGAGGCCCGGCTGGGGGGGTGTGTCTTTACCGGTGAACTTCAGGATGGTGCGCGGTGGGGCTGAGTGCCAGGGCGGCCTGGGTTGAGGATGGAGTGACAGTGAGGAGGGGCGGGTGCGGGGCAAGCTGCACAGCATTTCTGGCCTAGGGGTTCCCCTCCTGCGTCCCCTTCAATCCTTGCAGTTGGCAGGTGGGGTCCTGGCCAACAACTCTTTAAAAATATATCTTTTCATTAATGAGAGAGAGAGAGAGAGAGAGAGAGAGAGAGAGAGAGAGAGAGAGAGAGGAAGAGGGGCTTTGCTGTACGATGTATGCATTCATTGACTGACACTCGCCACCTTGGGGTATTGGGACT